CGACAAGCAGACGCCATGCTCTGCTCAAGGCTCTCTGGAACTTGTTTCTTGCCCTCGCCTTCTGCTTGCTCTTTTTCACTTGCATTTTCTGCCTTTTTATGCTCTTCTACCCCATCTGTCTCACCTCTGCCTCCCAGGAGCGTGCTGTTGCAGCCGTGCTGCTCACTCCTTGCCTTGTCTTGATCTCCACTCAACTCCAAGCCATCACTTACTGGAGAAGTCTGGCCCGTCTTGTGGATCCTGGGGCCAGCTGGGGCTTCCACACCATTTGCGTCACCACCTCCCTTCTCACTGGTGGCTTCCACAGTTGCATTTTTCTCACTGACATTTTCTTTTTCAGCCTCAGCGTTTGCAAGAGGTGGATTTAACTTGGCACTAGAGGCAGAGGGCCCCATGTCCAGGTTTATGGCCAAGTTGAATGTTTTGGTTCTTGATGTTCTTTTATCAACTTTCCTCCGTTTTACAGCTGCGTCGGCGGTCTCCGGCGCCGCCGAGTCTTTGGTGTTTGCATCGTCTTCCCTCAGTGCTCCCTCCTCCTCTTCTGCTTGTAGGAGAGGAACTGAGGAGGGGATTTCTGCATCAATCGCACATTCTCCCAGATTACGGGAAATGTTTTCAATATCACTCGGGCTTTTCAAGGATCCACTCTTTTTAGCATCTGACATATTTGCATCCAGTTTTCTCTTCTTGCTCTCCTTCGTGCAGTCGTTCTCTGCCACACCCTGCACTTCTCCAGTCTCACTGGTTAAATCCTTCTCCTCCTCCTGGGTAAGTGAAGCCTCTTTCTCTTCATCACCATCCCCTCCCTTCGAAGCACATTCACTTAACTTCGCTTTTACATCTTCATCCCTCACTTGAGGCTGCGAGTCTGCAGCATCTCCAGCTTCCTGTTCTTCTAGAGACTGGTTCTCATGCTTTTCCAAAGGATCACCACATTTTTTACCTTCCTTTGAAGCACATTCACTTAACTTCTCTTCTACATCTTCATCATTCACTTCAGGCTGTGAGTCTGCAGCGTCTCCAGCTTTCTGTTCTTCTAGAGACTGGTTCTCATCCTTTTCCATAGAATTATCACATTTTTTATCTCCCTTTGAAACGCATTCACTTAACTTCTCTTCTACATCTTCATCAGTCACTTTAGGCTGTGTGTCTGCAGCCTCTCCAGCTTTCTGTTCTTCTAGAGACTGGTTCTCATCCTTTTCCACAGAATCATCACTTTTTTTACCAGGAGCTTGCTGTTTATCTTCAGCCTTTTGGTGCAGCTGTGACTTGGTGGAGCGGGGTCTGTACTTGAGGAGTTTGTCTTGTGGCCCCCAGGCGAAGCTGCCCCGGGGTTTGAAGTGTTGCCAGGCGTAGTGGACCAGTTCCCTTCTCTTCCGTTTGCTTCTGATGGTGAACAGGAAGTAATCCAAGGCACTTCTCTTGACATTTGGTAACGTCTCCGTAACGAGGGTTTCTGTTAGGAAAAACTTCACCAAGTGCACTTGATAGTGTTCGTACCCCATCTCCCCCAGGCACTTCAGGATTCGCGTAATCCGCAAATTGTTGTGGCTATACCTGAAAGGAAGAGATAAGCAGAGTCCCTAAGTGAAAGTCCTACCTGAAGTCACAACGAAACCCCCCCCCAGGGTACCTGCAAAATGTTCTGTGAATTACTGACTGTGATCTATTAAAGACTATTTGAGATTCAGACGGGAGGGCGGGCGGGATTAGTGCTGCTCTCTGCCTTCAGCAGCACCTCCCCAGCCCCTCTTGGGCTGCTAGGATTAATCACCTCTGCTAGAGCAAATATTAACATCTCCAAGTCTCTATTTCCTACTCCAGGAGCCCAAGGTGCAGAATGCCTGCTGTTTACAGCTGCACCACATACAAAAGGAAATCAGTCTCAGCTGGTTTGTCTGCTTATTATACTTGTCACTTTATTAAGTGACAGAGAGCGTGATGACCTACAGTCAGAGGCTAAAAATACTTTGGGTAACCAACTCTTTTATCAACAAAAGCCTCTGTTCCTCAAGGGCTGAGGATTTGCTTGACTTTTTTTTTCACTTCTCACAGAAGTGCCTGGCTGTAGTAAATGACCAGTAAAATAAACACTCACCGGTTCAAGTTTTGAAATCGTTCAGCCCAATTCTCTGCTCTCTTAAGTTCTCCAGTTTCCTCGTTGATGAGAATGATTCCATAAAACCTCAGCATGAGCTGATAAGCTCGTATAAACCTTCCCATAACTTCCTTGGATTTCTTAAAGGCCTGAAAACAAGACAGACCAACGAGTACAAGGTGCAACTCCCTAATTATCCGCACCAGTTTAAGTCACACCTGAATTATAAACAAGGCTTGATTATATCACTAAACATTTCATCTGCTGGTGTAGCTACTGGCAGACACAAGACAGAAAAAATGCTTAACAGTGCTTGAGGGAGCTCTGTTCACATCAAGGCCCCAAGGAAGCAATGTAAAAAACTCTAGATTTCAGATATAAGGCATTTATGGAAAATGCTAACATCCTTCAGGTCTCAAAAGAAGAAGAAGAAAAAAAAAAAGACAACAAAAACTCCCAATACCTGGATTTCTTGACACGTGAGTGGTCTGGCACGCAAGTTCATCCCATGTTCACGTAAAGGGAATAGCCTGAAGGGAAAGAAATTTTAGCTCAGATGAGCAAGGATGACACCCCACCCAGGGTACCCATTTCATTAAAACTAAAAAAGATTCCAAAACCTGTGATATCACAGGCATCTCTTGGAGACCTCACATGGACACATAGTTTACTGGATGACAAATAAATCCCTCCCATAAAAGCATCACCTACACCAATGATCACAGCATACTTTGCTCATCTGGATCTCCCTCCTTGCCCTAACGCTTGGTTCTGCACTGGCTGTAAGACCAAGCATGACTGAGATCTATTGCTGCAATGGAAACACAACTCTTCAGGATTTCCACAGCATTGTTTCCAGAAAACTACAACTTAATAAAAATAAAGTGGACACAAGTTTCACTTATAAGTAATTCTGGGCCTTTTGGGAAGCTGAATTCACTAGACAGATACTTTACCACTGTATGTAAGAATGGTTTTCTTCCAGAACTTCATAGTTGTCCCACCACAATTCAAGCAGATCGTCAATGTGCAAACCTGAAAAGAAAAGGAAAGAGTCAGGCAAGAAGAAATGACACCAAATGAAAATTAAATTTAGCCAGTCACCCAAGGTGGCTCATTACCCAGAGCCAGGTGCTGGCACACAGGCATCAGCTTCTCTAATTAGACAACCACTCTTGTAAGCCAGAAAAAAACCCTTAGTTTTCTACCACCAAACAAAAATTTAGGAACATACAGCAGCAATGAGGACATTTAAAATGGAAATTCTTGGTGGTTTTTATGTTTTGGGTTGGTTTTTTCCCCCCTTTCTTTGTTGTTTTGTTTGTTTGGTGGTTTGGTTTTTTTTTACTAATTGTCCCACATGGATGAAGCTACTCTTTCACCAATTCAACCACCAGCAGAAGAGTTGCATCAAACAAGGTACTCACCCTGAGGCAAAAAACAAATCTCATTTTTATAAAAGCTCAAGTTCCACATCTCTTCTTCCTCTTCAGTTTCTGATTGTATCAACCCCTGGAGATGAGAACAAGCAATCAACATGCAGCACTCTTTTAAAAGGCAGCATTTACTTCAACACTTCTTTCTCCTTGCTTTCCCTCAAGTTTCCTAAACATTTCAAGCTAAATCCTTGAAGGGTGTTTTGGGAAGGAACAGCTTGTTTCTGATAATGCATTATCATCCCTTCCCCCTGACTAATCACTCTCTTACAGGTCCTGAGCCCGTGTCGTGGTTTAGCCCCAGCCAGGAGCGAGGACCACTCACTCTCCCCCCAGGCTGGGGTAGGGGAAAGAACTGGAAAAGTAAGAGTGAGAAAAAACTTGCGGGTTAAGATAAAGACAGTTTAATATGTAGGGCAAAAGCCATACACACAAGCAAAGCAAAACAAGGAATTCATTCCCTGGTTTCCATGGCAGGCAGGTTGGGCTCCATCATGCATCACGGTGACTTGGGAAGACAAATGCCATCACTCCCAATATTCCCCCCCTTCCTCCCTCCCCCAGCTCTATACACTGAGCACCATGTCATATGGCATAGAATGTCCCTGTGGTCAGTCAGAGTCACCTCTTTCCTGGCCGTATCCCCTCTCAGCTCCTCATGCCCCCCCAGCCCATGGCTGGCAGGGGGGTGAGGAGCAGAAAAGACCTTGAGAGCTCAGCCCCTCTCCTGGCCATATCCCCTCTCAGCTCCTCATGCCCCCCCAGAGAATGTCCCTGTGGTCAGTCAGAGTCACCTCTTTCCTGGCCGTATCCCCTCTCAGCTCCTCATGCCCCCCCAGCCCATGGCTGGCAGGGGGGTGAGGAGCAGAAAAGACCTTGAGAGCTCAGCAACAATGAAAAACACCAGGGCGCTATCATCAGCATTTCTCATCCCAAACTCAAAACACAGCACTGTGCCAGCTCCTAATAAAAAGCCTTCACTCTACCCTAACTGAAACCACAGTAGCCTGAAAACGGAAAGACAAAAGGGTGCCCTCGAATGGAGAAGGTGTTCCTAAACTTAGCATGGGATGAGGAAGAGCCAGGAGAGCCCGCGCATCGTCGTTCGGTGCGTACCGGGTACCGGTGTCTGTACCGCTGCAGGTCCCGCGCCGCGGTCCAGTTGCGCCTGCCTGAGAACTAGAGAAGAGACAGATCAGAGATCCTCAATAAAATTAGATTTTGTACCATCTCATTGTAACAAAGTCATCCATTCAGCTGTCCTGGTGATTGTTCATACTTAAAATTTATGAATCTTGCACAGCACTTCGGAGATGAAACTTCTATCCATAGAGGGAAGTCATCAACGCAGGATTTTTAAAGTTACCTTTGAAATATGCATTTACACGCTAGGATTCCCCCACACTTTGGTGACAGGAATTAAATAAAGCTCGAGTTGTTTTTTAAATGCAATTACTTGTGATGACCTAAAATAATGCCTGTCTACATTGCAGCAGATTGCCATTTTATACATGGCAACACAGACCAAAATAGGCGGCAGAACTTCCCACAGCCACGTGGCCCACACAGGACTGGCAAACCCAACGCCGGTGTCCATCCCCAGAACACAGCCAGGCTGCAGGAACGCACACAGCCATGAAAAGCTTTGCTACACAGTTAACATTTGGGGAAAAAAATAATAGAGAGTGGCTGCAAACACAACATTATGTTCAGCCAGAACAGATCGATATTGTTCTTTTGTTCAGGATGTTCGCAGAGACTGAGATTGAGCACTTGAAATTCATTGATGCTTTTGACTATAATTTTTGAACTACAAGGATAAAATTCTAATACACATGGAAATGGCGAAAATTATGCTCCCAATTACAGAAAAATCAATTTCCAGGCATTCTTTACACTTGAGGTTTTAAAATCACTTCCTTTAACTCAGCCAGGTGGGACAGGCTAACAGCAAACTGGGTCCAGTTTTGGAAAAGAACTGGTCTGCTGCAGAGTAAGGCTAGATAGAGAGAGAGGCAATGCCACAGTGCCAGGGGCTGTAAGGCTGGTGTCAAGAGAAGCTGGATGCAGGAGAAAGACATTCTGAAGCACGTTGGAAAGAGAACAAGACAGGGAAGCAAAGAGAGCAAAACTCAGCCCTCCCTCCAAGCAGGTTTTGTTCCTGGGTCTCTATAAACTTCTATTCAAGCAGCAGAGAAACAGAACCTTCCCTTTCCTTCCAGGTTAGACAGACAAACCAAGGCAAACCTCCCTATTTTTCACCACACCAATAAGCAGTTTAAGTGGGTGTCTCCCTCCAGAGCTGCAACGCACGGATCAGAGCGTGCATCGCTCTGCACAGAGGGCAAGGAAAGCGGAGAACAAAGCCAGGGGAGAGGAGTGTGAACAGCTTTTGGCTGAAAACTGGAAACCAGCTGCAACTGAAAGGGATGAAAGAAGAAGACACAGGAATGAGGAAGTTGAAAGAATTGAGTAAAAGAATCGAAACTTGTTGATGGAGAGCAAGGAGAAGGCAGAAGCACCAGGTTGAATAAAGACATCAGCCACTTCAGGCATAAAGTTACACCATCTAGGCTGAGGGGAGAAGAATGAGAATTAGCGTTATTCCAGCAGAAGTAGGAACTAGTTCTGGAAACTGATTCATGCTCTTGGCAGGTTGAAAAGGCATAAATAGATAGCAGCAGATTTACTGTTTCCTTTTTGTATTCCTGCCCACTGCCCTTCAAAAATTTCCAGGCCCTGTCTGACAGAGGTGACAGAGTCCTGACAGCAGGAAGAGCTCCTCTCTACAGACACAGAACAATATTCCAGGGGCGTAAAGTCTCAGGGCCAACATCCTCCCTTGTAAGGCAACATTTGAAAAGTTGTCACAATGCAGAAATTGCTCTAAGAAAAAAATAAAAAATCTGAAGAACAAACACATTTAAAAAGAATAATCTGAACGTTCTGGAGGCGTTAAAACTTGTGAACAAACCCAGGACTCCAGCCACATGCACAAGAAGATTGACAGTGTGCCCTCAACGCAAAACACTTCAAAGAGAATCCCTGCCTCTTTTTTTTTTTTAAGTATTACAGCTATTCCACATAAAATACCTTTCACAGATCTATGTGCACAACTAAGGCCCAGCTACATTCCCTGTGGCAAACTCTATGAAGATGCAGAGACAAGCGTGAGCAGGTCCGTCTGCTGTATTTAAACTCTGATTTCCTTTGCAAAGTACAAAGTGTGTATTTTTGAGAAGTCACCAGCATTAGGAATACTATGTTGCATAGAATTATTTTTTCTTTAAAGGGAGGTTATTTTAATAACTTAATGGCTATTAAAATATCTAAAGTTTAGTATTAAACGGCTTTAAAAGTATATTAATTAGAAAGCTTTATTGGCCTATTTATAGTCTAAGAATATGGGTGAGTCGCTGAAATGAAACTCAAGTGAAGCATTAGTTTCCCTTTCCCCAAAAGGGGAGAAGTTAAATTAAGTGACTGTTCCGTGTTTCAACTGACCCAGGAAAAACAGAAAAACAGAGACACGGGTTTGCAGAGAAGAAAATCGTGATGCTCCACGTCAAACTGAAGAACACTGATGGTAAAGATGGAAACCTGAGGTAAGACTAACAAGGTTGTTTCATTTCAAATCAATGTTATTTTAAGGCACCGGAGACAAGTGTTCACACCTTGCAGCACTGCCTCACTCATCAGAACTGCCCACACACCTGCGGGTCCTAAAACATCAGCACGTCTAAAAAAAAGATTAAAAGCTATGACTCACTTTTGAAAGCGAGCAGATGTTGTGTGATGGCTTTTTATCGAGGCATGAAAGAGTACGAAAGGCCACCACACAAAGATGAGGATTACCAATAAAAAACTTAAAAGCAAGGAGGTTCTGAGGAACACCAATGTCACAATGCCAAGCTCAGCAGCCATTGGGATGCGGTGGACAGGCAGGTGGACACAGGAGATGGAACCTCTGTTCATGGGGTGAAGTATCCAGACCACAAGGAATGGTGGGGAAAAGAAATATGAAATTCCAGTGTAATAAAATTTCAAGAGATCACAGAGGCACAGCACACCTCTGCCTTCGCCACCCCCAGAGCTCATTTCTGGCCTCCTCCCTTTGAAGATCAGCCCCACCGGGCTGAGGAGAGAACCGCAGCCGAGAATCGCTGCTGGGACAAACCCCTTTAACCTCCTCCGGGTATTTTAAGCTGCTCCAGTTCCTGACAGTAATTGGGACAACGGAGAAGGCGCCCAGATACACTAAGGAGGTGGCCCGGGGGGGGGTCCACATGTGCACATCAATCACACACAGAATCACCATGGTTGGAAGGGACCTCTGAGATCATCGAGTCCAACCTTAACAAAAAAATACAAACCACACCAAAAAAACCCCCAAAACCAAAACACAACATCCCACCACATCACCTCCACCCACAAACCAACAATCTTGGGCACTAGATCATGCCCTGAAGTGCCACGTCTATATGCTTCTTAAACACCTCCAGGGATGGTGACTCCACCACCTCCCCGGGCAGGCTGTTCCAGTGTCTGACCACCCTCTCAGGAAAGTCATTCTTCCCAATATCTCATCTAAACCTTCTCTGCCCCAACTTCAGACCATTTCCTCTGCTCCTGGCATTATTCCCTTGAGAGAAGAGGCCAACCCCCACCTCTCTCTACCCTCCTTTCAGGGAGCTGTAGAGGGCAATGAGGTCTCCCCTCAGCCTCCTCTTCTCCAAACTCAACATGCCCAGTTCCCTCAGCCTCTCCTCGGGTGACTTGTTCTCCAGACCCCTCCCCAGCTTGGTGGCTCTACTCTGGACACGCTCCAGCCCCTCAATGTCCTTCTTGTAATGAGGGGCCCAGAGCTGAAGCCACCCCTCGAGGTGAGGCCCCACCAGTGCCCAGTCCAGAGGCACGGTCCGCCCAGGTCCCCAAGGGCCGGGGTGACTCCCGGGGACCCTGGGGCACGGAGGGGGCGGCCAGACCCAGCGCACTGCCCCCGCGGCCGTCGGAGGAACACTCCGTGCCCACGGGAGACCCCCCCCGCACCCCCGGTACCCACCTGGGCCTGCCGGCAGCCCTGCGCCCAGCCGGGTACCGGCTGCTCCGCTGCATCCTCCGCCTCCTCCCCGCCTGCCGCCGCCTCCGCCTCGCCGCCATCCTCATCCTCTTCGTCGTCGTCGTCCTCCTCCCAGGTGGAGTCGTACCTCCAGAAGCCCGCCTCGTCCTCCGCCGGGCCGCTCTCCTCCCAGCAGCCGAACCAGGCCGCCATGGGCAAAGGGAAACCGAAAGGGCCCCCGGCACAAAGCCCGGCACGTGGGGGGGGGACGGGGACAAGGGGGAGGACGGAAGCGCCGGTACGCCCCGCCCCCTTCCTGCGGTACCGCCCATCCCATTGGTCGCCGCCCGCCCGGCCGCCCCCTTCCATTGGGCGCCGCGCGGTCCCTGTGCCCGCCCCGTCCCTCGCCCCGCACGCACTCGCGCCGCCGGGGTCGTTCCGTGGGAACCTTCCCTTCGTTCCGGGGGGAAAAACAGGAGAAAAGGTTAATTCCGGGCAGCAGTAAGGGGTGCTGGGCAGGATATGGAACCCCCTGGGCCGCACCAATGGGCTGCTGTTGGAAAGCCGGCGCTGGAGCAGCGGGGGAGTCCCCTCCTTCGTCCACGAAGGGACAAACATTCCACGGAGCGGGAATTCTCCTCTCTTAAGAGATGTTTATATTCCTTAGGAAAGGAATATAAAAGCAGTCCTTCCGAGAGCCAGGGATCGGTGAAAGGGAAAGGGGGAAAAGGAGAGCTACGGCACTCAGGTCATATAAAGCATTTATGTCTTCCAAAAGTCCAACGGCAGCTAGCAAATTCCTAAAAAAAAACCTGTGGAATGGCCAGGAGAGCCCAAGTGGGGTCTCCCTGCTCCAAGGGTGGTGTTGGGAGATAGATCAGCACACCGTGATGCCACATTCCTAAGCTATAAAAAAAAAAACATTTCATTGGTATAGCTAAAAAAAAAAATTGAATAGAATCCCTTGGATGAAAGGGATTTACTCACAAAGCAGGGGACTTGAAAGTAACAAAATTTGCACTTTATGGCCAAGATCTCTGAAGATCACTACCAAGTAAGAAGCACTTCAATTCTGCTGTTTCCTTAGGAATTGAAGAGGCATTCACCTTTCAGCGCTCCCTTGGGTGACAGACCTGTAAGTGACACACGATCACAACTTCCAGGAACTTGATCCTACCAAATAAATTGAGGGTTTTTCTAAAACTTCAAAATTAAAGCCAGGAGCTTTAATTTAACCTCACGCAAGGTTACAGAAGTTCAGTTTCCACCCACGGAGACACCCGTAGGACCTCTCCTAGGAAGCAGAGCTCCGTGGAGCTCTCCAGCTGGTGGGCACCTCACGGGACAATTTGCAAGGCTCAAAAGCAGCACCAAAGCCAAGGCATTTCATCCCTTTCAGGTCAGAATCTGTTTATGCCCCGCTATTTCAGACCCTAAAACACCTTAAGAGTGCTTAGAGTGGCCATCCCAGCAAAGTTCTGACCTCCCCGAGCTCACCAGTGCCTCCCAGATGGTGAACTGGTGAGCTCCCAACAGACTGCAACAAAAACTTCATCTTCTCAACTCAGAACTTCACAATTTCTTGTTAGAACAGAGAAAATCCTCGTTTGGAAACTCACAGCAGCCTGTCCATGGAGTCCACCAGGCCAGGACTTCTCAACAAACATCTTACAAAAATTGGGTCGTAATTCCCAAGATCCAGGTAAAACTAGTAAAAAACCAAAACCAAACCAGGTAGGCCCTTTTGACCAATTTCACTAAAGGTTTAAGATACCTAAAATAACTTTCAAAATAAGCTGGGCCAAATTTTTAATCAAGTTACACAACAATAACCATTTAGTAAAATAAAAACAAGTCCAGTTTATTCTTGGTATAAAACAGGTGAAGCAAAGAAGGCAGACAAGAACTTGGCTACGTACCTAGAATAAAAACTCGTGGATTCCTAGTTTCTGGCCTTGAAGGCAATACTGACAGATTAAGAAGTAATTCTTCTTTTTATTACGGTGAAACAAACTCAGTAACATTTCAGCCTACTCCGTTCACCACTGAACACGTGTTTGTTGATTGCGGTCAGTTGTTTTTTTCCAGAAAAATAACAACTTCATCAAATCTTAACATTCCAGCACAGAAAAGATAAACATTACAATGTCAGTAAGATTCTTAAGATGTAAAAAAAAAAATTAACATTTTGGAACACCAATTCCATTGACATCTACTAAAACTGCTTTAAAAAAATAAATAATCAAGTACAAACCCCACTGTCATACACTGCTATAGTACAAATGCACGAAGCATCATCTCCAAGTTCACACGCAGCTCAGCTGATCCCTTACAAAACCGTGTGACATCACTGGGTATTTTATTTAGGACACTTAACTAATTATTATTCTAGGGGAATTATAATTTTCACTTCATTTACGATACATAAACTTATAAAGATTGAAAAATGTTACGTCACTGGGTGAAAGACGTAAAAGTTCCTCCAGCAAACGGAGTGAAAGAATATTTCAACTCAGTAGTTATTTGTATTTAAATGAATTTTAGTTTTACTGAACCAACAAATCCAGTCATTTGATACAAATGCTATGTTTGTACGAAGTAAAACAGCCAAACGTTACCCACAGAGGGTCTGTAATATCCAAAGGTGGCAAGAAAGCAATGGCAGAAAAAACTGACCCAAAATTTATAGAAATAACCTATGCTTTTCATGAACTGCGGCTCCGTGTTTGACCGAGCACTCGTTTGAGGAACTGAGCCCATGCAGAGCACGTTACTTGTTTGAAATGCAACCCAAAGCAATGGCAGAAAAAACTGACCCAGTATTTATAGAAATAACCTATGCTTTTCACGAACTGCGGCTCCGTGTTTCACCGAGCACTCGTTTGAGGAACTGAGCCCATGCAGAGCACGTTACTTGTTTGAAATGCAACCACAGGAATTGTCACATAAGTGTGAACTAAAGCTGCCACCCCGAGGAGGTGCCCATCGCTCAGCTGCTCGGTGCCGGCAAGAAAACACACCAGGAAAGACAAAGTCTCATCACGTGTATTAAAGCCAACGTGCAGATTCTTCCAATACCTGGCTCAGATTATCTTTTCCTTTCTCAAAAAGTTTACGTAGCGACTCTCCCGCTACTGGTTTTGACTGTTCCCTCCTCGTGGCCCAGAGTTTGTTCCTCCTCTCCCACAGCTCGCTCTACGTTCTGCGCCGTTTCGCAGCACTCGGACTGGAGGGGTTACTGTTTGCGTTCAAGACCTTTTCAGTGACTCTGTTGCGCTTCCTCTTATCGGATCCTTCCTTGGATCCAGAATCTGATGTTTTCTCTTTCTCTTTGCTGCTTGGCTTTTCAGTGGTTTTTCCTAAACTTCCAGAGGGTGCAAAAACTGAAACAGGATCAGAGTAATGATTCCAGATCAGAGTTACACACGTAGGCAAACAAGAAAGTGACATCAAATTTTTTTTATATTACACAAAACTTTTCAAACCACTCAATTCTCAGCATATTTAAACCACCGCTTGAGTACGACTTTCACTTTTAAAGGAAAAATCTTCTGTAGGAAAGGCACGTCTTGCTTTTATTATTTGCTTTAAAGACAGGCATAGGTTGTGACAGGCTAAAAATGAAATTCATTAAGTGGAATTAAACAGCACTTAAAATTACTTAATAGGAACACTTACAGAACACAGGACCAATCTATGAAATTTATAATCTGCAATGGTCATTACATTTGGTATTAGAGATAGGTTTTAAAACTGAACACTCAAAATGTGAAATTTAATATATTCTTAAAATACAGTTTTAGATCTTTTATTACACTCAATCTTAAAACAACACTTATTCTGTGATAGAAGTATTACCAAATTATGTAGTTAACAGTTGGCTTGGTTTGTTAAGGTAAATAGCAGGATCACTACTGTTCGCATTTGACTCTCTGTTCTACAGCAAAGTGTTAGGAAAATAAGCCTTATATTTAAAAGAAGCAAGATAATGCAAATAAAATATAATAAAAAACCCCACTCTGCCCGCCTTTCCATTTAAGCATACAATCTTACAATCTTTTTGGATTTATAGGCCCTATTTTTCCCCATGACTACAAAGATGCTAACACAGAATGTTTAGGTTCACTAAAACTGACTCAACTTTCTTGCAGAGATCCTTAGATTACTTCAGACTCCCAGGGGTTTGTCAAGTACATATTAAAACCAAAAAAATCTCAAAAGCTATACAACTTTGTACATATGAATTAGGAGCAAAGGAGAAATCTTCCAAAGTATTAGATATTGGCAACTGCTCTTACCCTGTACATTCTTAAATTATGCTAATTCTCAGCATGAGCATATATTAAGTCTGAATACAAATTACAAAGTACATATTTGGGATTTACATTTTAACATTAATTTCTCAGAGTTACAGTTGTTTTTTTAATCTTATATTACACAGTAGAGAGTTACAAATTTACCTTCTTCTGGCCCTGCATGCGTTTCCATCTCTTCTTTTATTTCTTCTTTCACTTCTTCTTCTATCATTACTTTTCCTACAGAAAGGATTGTTAGGTTAGATGGTTTTAAAGAACTTTTTCTGGATTAGTAGTTCTGTTGAACTACCTATTCCAAGATGAGATTAGAGCAATCAAGAGTAAGAACCTGCTGTCACATCTTACCTTCTCTCACTTCTTGAATCATTTCGTCAGGAAGAGCAAAATTCTTCTCTATATTAGGGAACGGCAGAATCTCAGATTCATGCTTAGAAAGAAAAGAAAGATCTCTATGAATTCCTTTGTTAAAAACTTTAATTTGGATTTAGAAGTGCAATCTCAAGTTCTATTTTACATGCAATTAGTAGCTAAATCATTCTTAACAAGATGCTTCAAACTCTAGAGAGCCAGGAGGCTCCTCATGTCAAACTGATTATTAAGGTAAAAATACTTGAGATCATGACTCATGATCATCTGAGATAATTTCTGGAATCCAACCATGGTAAATTCTTATGGACACACAATATAACCTCCCTATTTGGCACTTAAGTACCTATGTTTGTTGCAACCGCATTTAGGCAGTAAAAGTCAGAATGCAGCATGGAAAAAAAAAACAAACCCCCAACAACAAAGCACTGCAGGTTTTACTGCCTTTGATAAGGAAAACCTCATCAACTCACTGGAACGACACGTAATTCTTAATGACATGAAAGGTATGTTAGGCCAGTGATTTTGGCCTGTCAAAAATCCCGACCTTTAAGAAACAATAACGTGCTTGCACCAGTCCTTTATACTCACAAGAGCCTGCATATCATACATGGTGCTCAGGTGGTCCCAAATCACTTTGGAAGAAATCTGCCGTCCAATATTCTGACTGAATTTATCTCGGATACAAATCATGTGGAAATGGCGGTTCACACCTGGGGGAAGAACTCAGTGCAATTAACAGCTCTACCTGTGCTACACAACGAAAAAGAAAAAAAATAAAAGTGAAAATCCCATCCTGTCGTTACAGGGAAACCGTCCAGCATGGGAGGGACCTGGGCAGCCCTGCCAGGCTGGTAAATACCAGCATTTTGTACCACCCTACATTAGAAATGCTGCTCTGGAGAAGGGCTGAGGGCGCCCCACGGGGTAAATGCTTCCACACACGGCCGCAGCCTGGGCTTTTGGAGCGGCTGATGAAATACAACCGAGGGGAAGCCTGAGGCAGCAAGGCAGGGCAGGCGAAGGCAGCGGGGGCCGAGGGCCGCCCGCCTCCGTGCCCCGGGGAGGGGTGGCCGAGGAGGCCGGGCAGACACGGCGCTCCGTCCCCACAGGGCCCCGTCACGCTCAGGAGAAGCCCCGGGGCCCCGGGCCGGCAGCGGGCCCAGGAGGCCGCTGGGGGCAGCACCGCGGCGCGGCCAGGCCGCTCCCCCCCGCTCCGGGCCCAGCGCCTGGTTCTCCTCCCCGGCCAGCGCCGCTACTCGAGGCCGCGGCTCGGCCGCGGCCTGCTCTCACCTACGGGCTTGTGGCCCAGCATGGCGTGGAAGAGGCAAACCTCCACTTCAGGGCTCCACACCACCACCGCCTCCTCCGCCGGTACGCCGGGCTCCGGGGCGGCGGCCGCCGCCGCTGCCG